TGTGTCAGCGTTCTGCGGACAAGCCACTTCGTCAGGTATTATCATATATCTAATCCGGTACTGATGCAATATATTTAATTATAAACTCATTTAACATTCAAGAAATATTGCTCTGTTAGTATGACGTAAAATACACTTTTACTGCTAAAGTCAGTGACGTATTTACGGTCGGGTGGAAAAGGGGCGGGGTGTGGGTGGTTGCGTACTGGAACCTAAATAGTTTCCCGTCCAGTAATTAAACTAGGATTGTTGGGGATACGCGGGGAGTTTTCGTGTTTCGACAAAAGCTAGTCCCCATGTTACCGACTAGGTGAGCAGCTGTTTACCAAATAAACTAATGTCTGAGCTGCAAAGAGTAATCGTACAATCGAAGAATGCAAGCTATTTGTCGTCATGTTGGATACAAACGTGTTCGTTAAGGCTTTAGGTATGTTAAAGCGATCACGAAATTTGCAGTATTATTTTTCCAGATTGTTTTTTTTTTAATTTCAAAGCAGTTAGACACAATTGTTTGGTAGTTCATGATAATTATGTATACAATCATTATATATTAATGACATTTCAATCACTATAATAATCCCACTAAACTAGATAAACCTTAGAGTCCTACATTATTATAATGTATTGTTTATAGAACAATATCATTTTACATACTGTACTATTTTACATACTGTAATATTTACAATAGGCCTACTAATCGAGTTTGCGAGTTACATATATACCACTTACACAGTTTATATTACCCAGAAAGTTGGTCATTCATACAACAACTCTTTACCGGGACTCGAACACGGGACCTTCCGCATACATGGAGAACGTCATAACCACTTGACCACAAAGCATTGTGGTGACTCATGCGCCAAGTAGAAGTTGAGTTTCTTTCATTCTTTCAACGTGACTTACGTTACGATTTTGATATAGCACAAATATCGCACGTGATACGTAAATGTTAGGGCAAATAAAAGTGAATTACAATAATCAAGTTTCGTGGAAATAAAGGATGAGCAAGTGTTTCTGTTAAATTCGGGTTTAATAATAATAATAATAACAATAATAATAATAATAATAATAATAATAATAATAATAATAATAATAACAATAATAATAATAATAATAATAATAATAATAATAATAATAATAATTTTATATAAAATAAAAATATTTATACAATTTACTAATCAATAGAATTGAACTAATTTATATAAAATAATGACATTCCTTACATTAAATATAATAGGGTCTAATAACACTAAATATAATAACACTAAATATGATAATAACAGGAAATATAGCGCATACAATTAACACAGACTTCCAAGTCTTTTATTAATATTAAAGCCTGGTGTGAGTGGGGGTAAGAGAGGCATCCCTCCGTCGGGCAAGCCTGGACCCTCCCGCGCTCTTGACGCAACGACGAGGTCGTCGGTCGCGGCTCAAATATAATAATTAGCATATCTCTAACGTTATTTTGATTGCCAAATCTGCTAGTAGAGGAAGATAGCCAGACAGCTGCAGACTGCTGTTTTAATTAAAGATTGGGGCGAGTTGATTTCCCTAGCGGTTAAGTCAGGGGCACCGTAACCTTCAGCTATAATATCGGCGCTGGTTCGAACGGCTCACTCGCCTTGGGTTCCGGTGGTGGAACAAGTCTTCTGGGATAAGGACTTTAAAACCGTAAACCCAGTGTACGCATTTAAAGAACGCAGTACATCCTTCGAGAAGAGTAGGGGCTTACCCCGGTGTACTGGTCCATTCAATCCCTGTTGTTTAATGGATATGTCACTTAGGATAGCGATTAAGTTCGCTGATTGCCATATCCTTGGCGCTTGTGCCTAAAGAAATGAAAAAAAAAAGACAAAGAAGAAAGTTGTTGAACTATTTCGTCCACGTATGAGAGTAATTCATTATTATTATTACTATATAATTATTACTATTAATAATAATATTAGTATTATTGTTATTGGTATTATTATTATGAGAGTAATTCATTACCATTATTATTATTACTATATTATTATTGATATTAATTATTATTATTGTGATGAAATAAAAGGTAGGGCAAAATTACACCTATATATTATTATTACTATTAATAATAATATTATTGTTATTGTTATTGTTATTATTATTAATAATATTATTGTATTATTATTATTATTATCATTATTATATTTTCCAGTTATTATCATTATCACTATCACTATCATTATCATCATCACCACCATTGTTGTTGTAAACACAGATGTAGCACTACTTCGACATAACGATAAATAGGCCTCTATTTAGATGACGGAGACCTACCGAGGGTCATACATCATCATTCATGTTCATATTTTACTGTATCAAGATACATCTTCATCAATGTTCGATCCACACGAATGAATTTACAATACACAATGCCGTTAGAATTAACGCTTTATTCGCCTGAACCAATACAGATAAGTAGTTGTTCAACGATGCATTGCTCATCTCTAGACTTCGATTGATGTAATTTCTTAAGAAAAACTGAAATTACATTCATCACTTCTCATTATAATTATATACACACATATATCTATATTATTCATAATGAAAATTTATTTATATATATATTTTTATGGACGCTAATACACATAAAAACATAGAATAAAATGAATAGTGCAAATTATATACGTTTTCGACACTTGTCCAGCAATGGATGCGCCTATTTATATATTTCAATTGTCAAATATTTGTAAATTTTGTTTTCATAGGTCGGTTATACAAATGTTATTATTTGATCTGTCATAGTTTGATAAACAGTCTTACAACCAAAAGTACCAAAAGTATATTTATATTTAATATAGTGATAAAAAAAATTCTGACGAAATATTTGTTTAATAAATAATTATCTCGGAGTTCTCCACATCATTATATATATTTATAATTATATATATATTGAGAAGTGGAAAATTATATATGTATATATAATATTAGATACACACTTATTTAGTAGTGCAATATATATAATATACATATATATATATATATATACTTATTTAGTTGTATATATACAATTAATAGATACGCATAAAATGTACATTATATTGTAACTGGAAAGGTGAATTTGTCACAAATCATGACCACAAATCAAGAACTCGTTTGCCACAGCTTTATCAAGTGTTCACCATTAATTAGTTTCGTGATATAGCAAAGAAAATAGGTAACCTGTAAATAAGACTTATATAAGTCTAACATAGGCCTATTATTATTTTTATTAAAACATGAGTGTATTTAAAACAAGAAAATTAACATTTATAAAAAAATAACATTCAAGATGTAATTATTTTTTTAAAATTTTCTGCTGTTATCAGTAAAATTCACATAGTTTAAATGAAATAAGAGAAAATTAAGATACATTGAAATTAGACTTATTGTTTATATTGTACTATCATGCAGCTTTTTTTTTTTTTTGTTATTCTTCCTCCCACGCCATTGGTTTAAGCGGTATGTTATTTGATACCAGCGATTTTATATAGTTTTCATACTCATTCTGTTCGGCCGCTCGTTGACGTAGCAAATCGGCGACTTTGGCGTTGTACAGTGAATATTCCTGATCGGTCCTCGGATTCCATGATCGGCGACCGTAGCGCCACGGACGGCTGCGTTGACCCGACATTATTGAACCAATTGCTACACGCTCTGAGAACAAAAATGAGAATTGAAGTCGATGAAATCATCAAATCGAATGTGACGCGTTCAGCTGCATTATTGTCATTATAAGGGGGTTTTTTTTATCAACATTTAAAATGAACATTTGTTGAAAAACACCGTAAAATAAATACTCGAGTATAACAAAATTTAATTCACATCATTATGTTCACATAAATTTTATACTGTAACGTATGGTACATTTTCTATATTGTTTATTCAAATATAGGCCTATTCATGGTAAACCTAATTGAATTAAATGTGTCTATTGAGCCCATTAATCTGTATTTGTATCTGTATCTGTATGGATACTGCACTGGCCCTCAACGCTGGCGTCCAGGCACATATAGTATTGCAAATGTGAAGTGGGAAACAGATCGTCTGGGAAGACACCCAGTAGCCCCAGTTGTAATCATCATTATTACCATTACTACAGTAATATTACTAATTAATATTATCTAAGTAATATTATCTGATTAATGAAATCAAATTTAGAGATATAATGCATTTCCTCGTAAAGAGAATCGGGAGTAGCCCTATTTTGAACATGCGCTCTAAAGACAAGTCTTAAGCCGGTTTTTCACTAGGCGAATTTATTCGCGAGAATCGAAAGCGTTGGTTCATGCGCATTCACATCCCTATCGGAGTTTCTGCGAAGTGAAAAAATGCGCAACCAATCAGAGCTCAGGAAGCGAACCGACGCTTTGATTCGCGCGAATTAATTCGTCTAGTGGAAAACCAGCTTTAGGTACAGTATCAAGCTGTCAGTAAGCACTTCAAAAAGATTGCAACGAACTACATCACCAAATAGTAGTGTACCGACTTCCCAATACACCTTTCCGGATTGTCAATCAAACTTAACAACTGACTAATCAGAACAGCGCTAGGAATACGCGCGCGTCTCACAAAACACACATGTTGTCCCACAAACGCACGTGTTCGCGTATGTTTTTCCATGGAGGTATTTTTTGAGAAGGAGATCGCTCGAAAAAGCTACACGCACGCAGAGCTATGCAAATGAACCAAGAACAAAGCTGCCGCAGTGCGTGAAGAACGTTTGCGCGATGTCTTTGAAGTCTAATGTGTTCCCCGCCACCAAATGCTCAGCAGGCTTTGATTACCAAGAGATTGAACACGGCGAAATGGAGAGCGCCTTCTTTTCTCAATGCGCACTACTTGCAGTAAATCACTATGGCTGCGCAATCGTTTCCATCTTGAAGCTAATACATTGATCTTTCAAGAAATACCAAACATAATAATATTTTCTACAAAAAAGAGTTTCGAATTTAATGAAAAATTTACATCAGCTTTAAAAGTATGGTATATTGCAACTTGAATTTCCATAAATTGGATAAAACTCGATAATTCCAATTTTAACAGATATTAATTAAGGAATGATGGAGGATTATGATAAACTAAGTCATTTTAGGGTTAACGAGGGTTAACTATTCAAAAATTCAATCCAGAATCAGAGTAATTTTTAGTTTTACGATGCCTTAGCTTTATAGTCAAACAAATCGATCTTTAGACAAAATTATAATGAACACAGAAGTAATTTTAACAGAAATATTTTGCGGAATCTGTTTCTGAAATATACACATAATAACATATTAAAAGTCAGGAAAAAAAATCAAATCAGGAGAACATTGTTTATTATAAAGATGTTTGGGTTAAAATCAAACGCTTATATGCTGGAGCGTATAAACGCATGTCGTTGCCAAGTTGTTGCTAACGAAAAAAAATGTGAATTATAGGGTAATACGCCCGCGCGCGATCCAAAGGCAAAGGGATCTGTTGCCGAGTGATCTCCTTCTCAATAATACCTCCTCCATGGTTTTACCACTGTCGTCTTGTGGGACCTTAGCAACAATATCCAAGGGGCGGGGCTTAGCGGAAAGGTCAATTAACCTTATATTATTGCCAACATACAGAAAAGGATGAATTATTTGTAAGCCGGCATAAAAACAATAAAAGGTCACGAGGGAACCACTTTAATGGTAATCATTTTATTGACGATTGTTGCACTTGTATACCTATGTATCGGCGTTTTTCAAAGTAGAGCGAACACTTAATTATCGAGGAGGCTTCATCAACCGTGGGAGGAAAGTCCAAAGGTGCTCATGGCGTGTACTAATTATCTGCCAAAATTATAAATCAAACAGAATCACCCTATTTAAGTATCAGAATGAATTTACCAACACTGACTCTATTATAGAACGGTTTTCTGTGACGCTAGGAGAAGGTAAAACTAATCGATAAAAATATTTTGACACATAGTCAATGCCATGGAAATGAAATGAATCCCCTAATATTACCCATCCTGCAATGGATTGATCAGTATGTAACTAAGTTTATGCTTATGGGCAAATCAATTTCCTTTTGGACTGACAAGTATTCAATCGTATATGATGTCCGTTTCCGGGAGTTTTTACTTCTCTGTTCACCTCAGAAAAAAACAAATCACCAATTTTTGCATCACTGTTCTAAAATTGATCCGGATATCAGAAACCGTTTCGTGATCGAGAAAATTAAAAAATAAAGATGGATTTTCTTTCTTTCTCTCTCTCGATAATTTTCTTATAAAGGTTGATAAGTTAAATTAAATGTGTAAGACTACTAGTGAGCTAAATAGCCCACACATCGATCGATGCTAAACATAAAACAATTTCTCAGGCTTTCTACTTTACTCTATTTCCGCATCAATAGGCCTACTAGCATTACACTACATAAGTGATACTAAATAAGTGCAATAATAGCTAATAGTACAAACATACAAACTAAAATAATAGGCTACTAAGAGTGTCTTTTAAATGATCCCTAAAGCAAAGGTACGTTTTAATGGTTTATAATCGAATATTAACATACAGCAGTTTCCCTCGCTCGATTAATAAACATTAACTATGAATTAGAGAAGTACAGATGGACAGAAACTATGATAGTAGCCATTGTAGTAATCATAATGTGCTAGTATTATATTTTGAAAATAAAACAAGTAATAAAACAAAAATATGTTGCTTTTTGAAATGATGATTTTCTGAACAGTATTGCATAACACCATTAAAATGCCATTGATCATTATTAAGTGCGTCATCATTATTTTGATGTTACGCATCGATAAACTTGGTATATCGTATCTTCCTGTAAATTTGTTTGCAACTTTCGTGTTTTGCAGCACGGTATTTTGAATTATTCTGAGGTTTGCGCAAGGAATGTAAAACATTATGATAGAGAAGATATTGATTTTTATTAGTATAATTATACTTGATTAATGAGAGTATTGATTACGTTCATCTGAAAGCTTTCGTTCCTCCTTTCCTTCTGCAGACGACCTAGCTACCAACAAACTGATTGTCAGTGCGCAGACTATAACCAAACAGCACCTGGACCTTCTCATTGTGTGTGTGTGTTTTTTAAATATCTGTCAGCTAGTTGATAACTGTTTTACCGGCAATAATAGACTGAGAGTTCTGAAATACAAAAGAAAAGGACATTAGTATAAAATAAAATGAAAATGAGAACAGCATAGGCATCACGGTGATAATTAGCGCTTTTTAACTGCAAGGAAAGGCGCTATAGAATAACTAAATAACAAGTAATAATTGGTAAAAATTATCGATATTTAGGTAGAATTATTAAATATTTGTTGTATAATGCATAGTTGAGATGTGTGGTATGAGCTATAGATATTTTTATCATTAAAATAATTCTAGGCTTGGGAAGATCACTTGCAACACTGAGTTGTAATCATATATTATGTGAAGCCAATAATTATTCGAACGTCAGGATCTACTTCTATTATTACAACACAATCACCATCACAGCCACTGGCACCACACTA